TACATTAAAGTGAAGAGTACAGTGGGAGAAGCTCCTCTACCGTGCGGCCCGTCCGCACGTCAACCGTAACTCGCAGCCGCAGGTCCGGGACAGAGGATCGCGACGTAAGGGCCTCGTTGATCCGCTCTGTCGTCGTGGCAGCGGAGTGCCGGTCGGGGTGCGGGGCATTCGACGTGCGAAGTCCAGATAATATTGTTACAAAATTGACTTTTTTAAAAAAAGTAAAAAAGGGTGTCAAGTGTTAGCGTGCTCCAAGCGACCAAGTAACAGAAAAATAAGGATTCAAAGAATAAGCAATTCTTACCTTGCACGACCTGGTGCCCGAAAAAGATAACTCGAAAGCTCGTATCGACATTATGAAATTGTCGTTAGATTTATCCTCACAACCTTTGTTTCCGAGATAGTTAAATCTCACAAGGCGAAAATTTGAGATATAGCTAAACTGGTAGCGCTTCGACAATGCCAATGCCGTATTATCATCCGTCTTTTTTTATATACTTGACGTTGCATAATAAAATAGAATATTTTATTACATATCACAAATTTGCAAATTTTTGCCTTAATTTCCTTATGACACTGCCTACATAAAAACTGTGTTTGAATTTTTATCTCTATGTGCAATTCTTTTTTCCGACCGCGACTAATTTGTGGGACAGCCATCATGGCCTTAGAAACCGTTTCACTATGAAACATGCGCGGGCTTGCCTCGGTTAAATGCTAATATGTAGAATATTTCACAAAATCCAACTTTCGAGAAATAAGAATTACTTATTAAATAATCATAACAGATACAATATGGGAGTAACGTCAAACAAAAAAACCCTTGATTAATAACTTGAAATAAGAAGTTCTCCATGCCTCAAACAAGAAACAAAAAACAGTTTCAAAACACAGAGTAGAAGTAGACACATCAATCCGTACTTACTTGAGAGAGAGAGAGAGAGAGAGAGAGAGAGAGAGAGAGAGAGAGAGAGAGAGAGAGAGAGAGAGAGAGAGAGAGAGAGAGAAACAAAAGAGCCAGGAGTGAGACGAGAGAGCGGAGAGACAGACGAGAAAGTCATGAGAGAGACCAAAATGCCAAGACAGAGACGAGAAATCTGGAAAAGACGAGAGAGTTAGAAATGAGATAGCAGAACCGTTAAAGTGACAAGAGAACTATGAGAAAGACGAAAAAGTTGTGAAAGGAACTAGAAGATCAAGAGAGAAATGAGGAGACCGAGAAAGATGAGAAAGCCAGAAGAAAGACGAGACAGCCGGAAAGAAGGCAAAGATTACGAAAAAGAGACGAGAGAACCGTAAGACGGACGAAAGAGCTGACAGAGACGAAAGATCCATGATTGATTGATTGATTGAACCTTATTAGTTTTCTTAGCTATTTCATATACATATACATAATTACAATACATTATTTACTATATATACTTTTAACATCCTTTTAAACGATTCAATTCTTATACACTGCTTTATCTCGGTTGGCAAAGAATTGTACATTTTTATTCCTTCGTAAAACAGACCCTTTTGCGTACTTTTAGTTCTACGGAATGTTATTACAATGTTTCCGGTCTGTCTCGTTTGTCTATCGCATTCACTACCCACTATTTCTAAACTATTGCTTACCACTATCGATGCCATGTTATTTAAAATTTTAAAGGTAAATACACCCACGTTATAACATAATCGTTGTCTTATGGACATAAAGTGCAGTGCCTGCAGCATGTGCTCAACTTTGGCATATCTATTACACTGCAAAATAACTCTCATGCTCGGTTTGAGCAACCTGAAGTTTGCTTAATTGCGTTTCTCTCATTTCAACTAATAGCGTAACACAGTACTCAAAATGAGGTGCTATGATCGACTTATATACAATACATCTAGTGTATGCTGATACGAAGTTACCTATTCTATTTAAAAAACTAGTCTTTTTTCCTATTTTCTTTAGCATATAATCACAGTGATCTTTAAATTGGAGCTTATCATCGATAATTACGCCAAGATATTTGATTTTTTTAACACGTTCCAATTCAATTCCGTCCGAATATCTTAATATAATATCACCTTTCTGCTCTTTTTTTACACTTCTAATTATCATATGTTTTGTTTTACTCGCATTCATTTTCAACTTATTTACACTCATCTATTCTTCAACTATGCTAAATACCATGTTCATTTTCCTCTCTAATTTCGCATTACTTCCCCCATTTACATATACTAATGAATCATCTGCAAACATTTTTATATTGCACTTTTCTGGACAAAATTTTACTAAATTGTTTATACAGGGTGTCTCATACTCAATGGTACAGCGCTTGTGGGGAGATAGTGTGGACAAAACTGAACAAAAAAGTCCTCTACTATTTTGCGATCTTCGCCATAATTTTCGAGATATTAATATATAAAGCTCGTCGAATCTGA